CAGTCCAACAAGTGCTGTCTAGAGAGAGTCTGTCTGGCCGCTGTTACTGGGAGGCCGAATGGACTGGTCCGGAGGGGACGGTCGGGGTGACGTACAAAACCATCCTGAGGAAAAGTGATGATCTTTGTATAGTAGAGGCCACCGGGCAGCTTGGAAACAATAGTGTGTCATGGAAAATTACCTGTGCATCTTTCCCATATGTTTCTCACGCTGAAGACTACATTGCTATAAAGGCTTCATCCTCTTGTTCATCTAAAAGAGTGGGTGTGTATGTGGACACGACGGCTGGTGTTCTGTCCTTCTACCGCGTCTCTGACACACTCACACACTTGTACACCTTCCTCGCGGCTTTTGAAGATCCTCTCTATGCGGCCTTCAAGGTGGACGGGGACTCTGTGTCCTTTTGTCAGATTTAACCTGAAAGCCTCTTTATCTTACCATTTATGTGCACATTTATTGCCATCTTGTTTTACTCTGTGTGACTGAGTACAACTTCAAATCAAATTTAATAAGATGTTATGCAGGTAAATGCAAAGGTTTTACTGTAAATAACAGCCGAACCACATGTTCGGAAATGATTTGAGTACTGCCTTTTTAGACATGCAAAAGCTGACTTTTTTTGTTAAAATGCTTTACTTTTGTTATGCTTAAAGTCTCATTTAAGTCTTATTTGTTCACTTTGTTAACCTAGATGATGCCCATACTTTGGTATATATAATATAATTATGTAAACATTGTGAAATTAATTGCATTAACATGGGAAAAAGCTTATTTTCTGCATTTACTGGTTTGTTTATTTATTGAGATCTGAAAATCAATAACTAAACCAACTGATCATTTGCTGAACAAGACATCTGCAGCTTACCTGCTGGACAAATTAAAATAGTTTAATTTGTGTTTGAGGACATTTACACAACATTTATTATTGAGAACCCTTACGAAAATTAACCGCGGTTTTACTACATATAAAACCAAAAAACCCCCCCAGAAAAACATGGTCATTGTAGTTAAACCATGATAACCACAAATTAACCATGGATTTGTTACACTAACCATAGTTTAACCGTGGCATTTGTAGTAAAACTGTGGTTAATGCAACCGATTTATGAAATCATATATGATTTATAAATATTAGTTTAGACTTTATGCATTTGTTTTATAGACAGTCATTATTTAATTGCATTGAATACACAGTTTAATGAGGTGCATTATTTTGCTCACGTGGCCTCAGGAGACAGGTGTTTACGTAACACTTATTTCATCTGCATATAAAATATAAGAAAGGAGATATTCGTTTCAATTTTATTTTGTGTTTGACTGTTAAAACTAAAATGTGTTGTTGTTCAACTCAATAAATTGGGTAATTTAAAAATACAGTGGTTGAATTAA